ATCGGGGGGGGATGGGGGTTGGGTGTATGTAATATTTACTCAAGGAAAGATAATGGGAATTTTTTTTGCGTAATTAAGATTCCATAAAAAATTGGAAAAAAAAAAAATACAATCTTATTTTAATGCATGAGACGTATGAAGTCAAGAAAAAAAGATAAAGAAAATTGCTTGGGGGTGAGAATCCGAGAAACCAACTTTGCCATTTTAAAGCAAACTTTTCCATCTCACCTATTATCATTTTGTCTTTTCACTTCTCAACTACGAATGGACTTTCATGAAGCTGATCTTGAACAGCCAAGTACGAATACTTTCGTTTAAGAGAATATTTTTGGTGTAGAAAGTCTCAAATTCAGGATCTTCCATTGCACAAATTTCCTAAGCAAACTTTTCCATCTCACCTACTATCATTTTGTCTTTTCACTTCTCAACCCTAACTACCAGTGGACTTGACCAAAACGAACCCAACTACCAACGGACTTTACCAAAACGAACCCAACTACCACATGCTATTTTTAAACAAAAAATTTAAAGTTCAAGTTATAACTTCGTTCCCAAGTAGCGGGAAAGTTCTTTTCCATCTTCAAGAAGGAAATAAAACCTTAACCATTCAGTTTCATCATTGTAAAAGATAAAGAGATTTCGTATGATGTTGTATACACTGGCGGACTCAATAATTTTTCGGAAAAAGGGCAATTTTTAAAACGTTAAAAGCTCAAAAAAAAAAAACTTAGAATTTGAACAATACTAATGTCATTTGTAATTCATAGAAAAAAAAATATTACATTACAATTAAGTTACAATTGTTCACCACGAGCTTCCATATCATGAAAACAATGACAATATTTATACAAACTTGGTTTCTTTTTTTTTCTTTTTTTTTAAATAATACAATTTTATACATACTTGATCGATATTAACGTTGCAGACTTGATAGACAATTAATTTTGCAGCCCTACAAATTTATGCAAGGACAATCCTTATTTAAGGCCCAATTTGTTTTTCATCCAATGACCCAATTGATTTATCATATACTAAATATCATGTAGGAATTGCAGTCGCACTCACATGTTTATTCCTTTTTTTTTTTTGGGCAACATGACATCGTTTTGCTCATAACTTAAAAAACAAAGGGACAGCAACTGTGATGTGCATGCAGCAAAAGAAAGAAACCCAGCAAGTTTGCTTAAGCTTTTTTTCAAACACTACTTGGAGTGCAACAGCAACTAGAGCAGAGGTGCAACTCCAGCAGCTTTAATGGAGATTTCCGGAGACCGGAGATGCAGGTGCACCTCCTTGCACCTGCATAGGTCCGCCAGTGGTCGTATAAGCTCTTTCTATATGAATTTTAGCTTTGTTTTAAATAATCTCATTATGTTTACGGAATAAAATTGTCACGCCCCAAAATCAGACCAAATTCACTGAAAGAACAATTAAGTCAAACTCATTAACTTACTCAATTAGCACTACTAAGAACTAAACATAAACACTTCCATTGGTGTTTCCAATAGTACAAGTTTAAAACATAAACTTCATAGCTTTTACTTAGAAGGATACAAGAGGTTAACAAAATATTTACTTTCCAAAATATTATTTAAGAC